AGGACATAAAACATGTCTTAGCACATTTCAGAAAACTGAAATCATATCAAGCATCTTCTCTGACCACAACACTATGTACCTAGAAATCAATCACAAGAAAAAAACTAAAAAAAAGACACAAGATATGACAGCTAAATAACATGTTATTAAACAATGAATGGGTCAACAATGAGATCAGGGAAAAAATAAAGCGATACCTTGAAACAAATGAAAATAAGAACGCAACAATCCAAAATTTGTAGGACACAGAAAAAGCAATCCTAAGAGGGATATTTATAGCATCACAGGCCTATCTCAAAAAAACAAGGAAAAGCTCAAATAAACAATCTAACTTTACACTTGAAGGAACTTGAAACATAACAACAAACAAAGCCCAATATGAGTAGAAGGAAAGAAATAATAAAGATCAAAGTAGAAATAAATAAGAATGAATCTAAAAATGATACAAAAGATCAATGAATCTAAGAGCTGGTTCTTTGAAAAGATAAACATGATTGACAACAAACCTTTAACCACACTTATCAAGAAACAAAGAGAGAGGACCCAAATAAATAAAATCAGAAAAAAAGAAGAGAAATAACTGACACCAAAACAACACAAAGTATTGTAAGAAAGTATTAGGAACTACTGGTATATACCAACAAATTGGACAACTTGGACAAAGTGGATAAATTCCTAGAAACATGTATCTTCCAAAACAAAATCAGGAAGAATCGGAGAATGTGAATAGATAGATTACACCTAATGAAAAATGAATCAGTAATAAAAAACTCCCAGCAAACAAAAAGAATGGACCAGATGGCTTCACACATGCATTTTACCAAACAGTTCAAGAACTAACAACTCTCCTTCTCAATTTCAATAAATTCAAGAGAAGGGAAGACTCCCAAGCTCATTTTATGAGGTCTGCATTATCCTAATTCCAAAACCAAATAAAGACACTACCAAAAAAGAAAAGTATAGGCCAATATACCTGATTAACATAGATGCTAAAATCCTCAACAAAATATTAGCAAACCAAATACAGCAATGCATCAAAAAGATCATATACCATGATCAAGGGGTTTATTCTGGGGATGCAAGGCTGATACAATATTCTTAAGTCAATAAATGTGATATACTACATAAATCAAATGAAGGATAAAAACCACATGAACATACCAACAGAGACAGAAAAACCATTTGATAAATCCAGTTCCCATTTTTTATAAAAACTCTCAGCAAAGTGGAAACAGAGGGAACATATGTATATATAATAAAGGCCACATATAATAAACCCACTGCCAGCATCATATTCAAGGGGCAAAAACTATAAGTATTCCCCTTAAGACTGGAAATAAAACATGGATATCCACTTTCACCTCCCTTATTCAACATAGTACTGGAAGTCCTAGCCACAGCAATCAGACAGGAAGAAGAAATAAAAGGCATCCAAATTGGAAAGAAGTAAAGCTGTCTTTATTTGCAGATGAAATGATACTGTACATTGAGAACCCCAAAGATTCCACCAAGAAACTACTAGAACTATAAATTCAGTAAAGTAGCAGGATATAAAATTAATATTCAGAAATAAGTTGCATTTTGACATGCAAATAATGAACTAAAAGGGAAATTAAGAAAACAATCCCATTCACAATTGCTACAAAAAGAATAAAATACCTAAAAAATAAATTTAACCAAGGATGTAAAGACTTGTACATGGAAAATTATAAGACACTGAAGAAAGAGATTGAAGAAGATGTAGATAAGTGGAAGCATATACTGTGTTCATGGACTGGAAGAATTAACATCATTAAAATGTCCATACTACCCAAAGCAATCTATAGATTCAATGCAATTACTATCAAGATACCAGTGAAGTATTTCACAGAATAGAACAAATGTTCCAAAACTTTATATGAAACTACAAAAGACCCCAAATAGCAACAGCAATCTTTAGAAAGAAGAACAAAGTTGGAGATATCACACTACCTAATGTGAAACTATACTATAAAGCCATAGTAATCAAGACAGCATAACACTGGCATAAAAACAAACACACAGATCAATGGAACAGAATAGAGAGCCCAGAAATAAACCCACACCTTTAGTCAATTAATATTTGACAGAGGATGCAAGCACATACAGTGGGCTAAAGATGGTTTATTCTGTAAACAGTGTTGGGAAAATTGGACAGATACATGTAGAAAAATGAAACTGGACCACCTTGTTACACCACACACAAGAATAAATTAAAAATGGATCAATGACTTAAATGTTAGACCCCAAACCATAAAAATCGTAGAAGAAAACACAGGCAGCAAAAATCTCAGAACTTGCTCGTAGCAGTATTTTATCTAATTTATCTCCTCAGGCAAGGGAAAGAAAAGAAACAAGTGGGACTACATCAAACTAAAAAGCTTTTGCACAGCAAAGGAAACCATCAACAAAATAAAAAAACAAACAACTGAATAGGAGAACATATTTGCCAATATATCTGATGAAAGGTTAATATCCAAATTTTATAAAGATGTTATAAAATTCAATACCAAGAGAACAATCAATCAATTAAAAATGGGAAAAGGCCTAATTAGACACTTCTCCAAAGAGGACATACAGATGGCTCCCCTCACATGGGGCAAAACGGCTATCATCAATAAATCAACAAACAACGAGTGCTGACAAGGATGTGGAGAAAAGGGGGAACCCTTTTGCACTGTTGGCGGGAATGCAAATTAGTGGTGCAGTTCTTGTGGAAACTAAAAATGGAACTGCCTTATGACCCACAGACTCTACCTCTGGGAATTTGTCTGAAGAAATCTGAAATACTAATTCGAAAGAACATAAGCACCCTTATGTTCATTGCAGCAGTATTTACAATCACCAAGTTATGGAAGCAGCCCAAGTGTCCATCAGTAGATGAGTAGATAAGACAACTATGGGACATCTACACAATGGAATATACTCATCTGAAAAGAAGAGAAACTTTTACCCTTTGGAACAGCATGGATCAACCTAGGGAACATTATGCTAAGTGAAATAAGCCAGTTAGAGAAAAACAAATACCATATGATTTTACTCATATGTGGTGGAATCCAATGAACAAACTGAACTAACAAGCAAATAGGGACAGACTCATAGATAGAGAGCAGGCTGATAGCTCTTGGGGTGGGGGGTGGCTAGGGAGTGGAGGGATTGAGCAAAAATGAAAAAGGACTCATGAACATGGACAATAGTGTGGTGATAACAGAGGGGGATATAAGGGGGATAAATGGCAATTGGAAAAAATACAATAAAAAATTTTAAAAACCTTAAAAGAAGAATAGAACAAAATGAATTGCCTCCCTACCCCCATACTCTTCCTTCTTCATTTTTCTGTTCTTTTTCTTTAATGCTTCTGTATTTGTAATTTGCATTGTATCGCATTTCTTTCAGAAATAGCTAGGACATATATGATGAAAAGATTGAGACATACAATGACTTCAGGAGGCATTTTACTTTTTTACTTAAGTAGATACAACTGCTCATGGTGGAAAAGGCCTCCACCTGCTCTTGCAGAACCACAGTATTGCCACCCACACCAAGGCACTGGTTTTACATCATCTTCTTTACACAAAGGAAAAGAGACAACCTTGATGTGATCCCTGTGGTGCACAATTCAGTGGCACATGGTATCAGGCCGTTGATGAGAGAGTAACCCCCCAATAAAGTAGTATTTCTTACACCTTGAACCCAAATGTCCTTCTCCTTTATGGTCTAAATGACAATTATTTTCACAGCTGTTTTCACTATAAAATATTATCAAGAATTTTATTTTTATTACTATCAAAAACTTCTTTATACTTTTCTTAGTTTTTATAATAGAGAATTATAGACACAGGAAGGAGTTTTTATAGGTCAGCAGCAGGAATCAGTTCTGCAACAAAAGACCCAAATGATAACAAATATGCTCCATAGGGCCACAAAATGGGGTGCCCAGCAAGTCAGAACTAAGACACAGGTGCCCAGAAATCCAATGTGACACCACCACAAGGTAGAAGTCACAGGCACTGTGAAGATCCTGCATTCCCAGGATTACTGGGTCCAGGGACATGGATGTGGACTGGGACAGAGCTGGGAACCTCCTCCAGCCTAAAGCTTCCTCAAGAAAGCCAAATAAACAATGAGGCAAATTTTAGCATGAATACTGTCAGAAGTGCCTATAAACCATAAGCAATTGTAAGTAGTTCATCCTAATTATCTTTCAAAACATCTCCTTCTGTCTAAGAGGCTCTGAACCTATTTCCTGCATCTCAGACCCCAGATATCCCAGGGACTAGGCCTGCAGATCTCCTGCTAACAGTCTATACCTAAATCTGAGGACTGAACCATCTGAGAAATCCTAAGGTTGTCCTGAGAGTTGTGAAGTGGACAACTCTCCTCTCTGCCCAGGATTTATGGCACCTCCACTGAGCTGTGGGTACTTGAGGACAGCCAGAAGAATATGCCACCCTAACGATGAAATCACATGACAGGCCTCCTGGACAGAATGCTGATTTTAAGCAACTAAACATGTAAGAATGACAAAACAGTAAACATCTTCTCTGTGAAACTAAAAAGAAACACAATGTTTTAGGCTCTTCTGTTTTTTGGTTAGGCTGTTGTCCACAAATGACTGGTGCAGGACATTAACTCCGTTTTATCAGTCTGCAGTGAGACACAACTAGGATGGAAACCACTACCACACACTGCATAAGGCATTGGTCCACCCCTCCTAAGGAATGGAAAGGAAAGTTTGACTACAACCAGTTTCACAAAACAAAGTGTTGTCAGTACCTGTTCATGATCCACAATGAAGAGAACTACAGGTTTTTGCATGTAACATTCCACAACTGTGCACTCATTGTATGTCATCTCCCAATAGACAGTCAATAAAATCATTTCATTCTACACTAGAAAGAGCATTCAAAAGGGACACAATCTCCTTCATAAACAGTGACTACGCCCCGTTCCTCCTCCAACACCCCTCTCCCCCCACTCACATATCCTCCACGGTGATGTCTTTCAGGATCTGGCAGTAATCCACATTCCACACAGCCTGGTCATCCCATACCTTGGAGGCCAGCAGAATAGCCCCAAGGACAATTCGCTTCCAGTTGGCTGGACAGATATCTATCTCTGCATATGTTAGAAGTCTTTCAAGGTATACCTAGAGGACAAGAAAATGCCAGAACTAAGCAACCTGTTTTCTCTCACATATAAGTCTATATAAAGAAATTCTAAAATGGTTTAACTCTATTCTACCAACCTTCAAACAAGGATTTATTACATAATCATACTTATTTTTAAAAAGTCAAGGGCTCCAACAGTCTGATATACAATGTGCACACTTCATAACTAGAGCTGAAAGACTCCAAGGCAGAGACAAACTCCAGGAGCTATAGGTTAATTCCTCATTCGATCAACTAGGACAGCGATACAAATTTGACAAATAACAAATATTCCAATAGTAGAACAGAGAATGTGACAGGAATAAACCTATCTTTATCTGTAGTTTTTAATTAATTTTTTTACTCTGAAGTATTTGTAGATTTATATGCAGTGTTGATAAACCTATTGTAGTAAAATATATGTAATATAAAATTTACCATTTAACCATTTTTAAGTGTAAGATTTTGTGGCATTAAGTATTCACATTGCTGTGAAATCATCACTGTCCATTTGTATCTCCATAACTTTTTCATTTTCCCAAATTGAAACTCTGTACAACACTGCATTCCCCTCCCCCAACCCCTGGTAATCATTATTCTACTTTGTCTCCATGAATTTGACTACTCTAGGTATCTTATATAGGTGGAATCATACAAAATTTTTCCTTTTGTGTCTAACTTATTTTAGTGTGAAGGAGTACCTCACTATGGTTTTGATTTGATAAATTCACTTTGTGTTTTTTAATTGCATTTTTTTCCATTACCACTTATCCTCCTTATTCTCTCCTCCCCCACAATCACCACACCGTTGTCCATGTTCATGAGTCTTTTTTCCTTTCTGCTCCATCCCTGTACCCCCTAACTCCCCATAGCTGTCAACCTGCTCTCTGAGTCTGTCTCTATTTTGCTTGTTAGTTCAGTCTGTTCATTAGATTCCACATACAACTGAAATCATATAATATCAGCTGAAGATAGAAAATAAAAACAAATATAATAGGATTTACAAACTGGCACAATTTAGTTTGAGGACAGACATCAGAAATGCCCACATCAGAAATTTTGTGGAAAATTCACCACTTGGATTTGGTAACAAGAATGTCTTTAAAAATTTCCACTGGTGAAAAATCTGTTTATTAGTATGTTTTATACTTCCCCAAATCATGAAATTATTTTTTCTATAGTTTATCATTTACAAAGTGGAACTACTGCATCAGAAAGAAAGAAATTTAGTCATCCATACTTTTTTAATAACTTGCTTTCCAACACAAATGAAATCTATACAGTGTTAAAATTATTCATAGTTTATAACATCTGTAAAGTCTTAAAATATGCAACTTCTAAAAAGGCATGTGCAGAAAGCAAAATGTTAAATATACAAAATATAGATTATTTTCAGCTAAATAATATCCATGTTCATAAATGGGATGGGAAAGCTGAAAAAGGGACAGAATCCATATCTGTTACATTGTTAGTGTTCTGGGGAGGAGGCTGTACTTTAGGAAGCTCTTGAGAAAGAGGTAATTAACAGACTGGTTTCAAGAAGTTTGTTAAATGACATGAATGTGCAAGTAGAATAGGATAGTGTTAAGAAGCTAATAATCACACAACAAAAAAGTCCACAGGATGAAAACATATAAATAATAAGTGTGGTCAAACTGGAGGACTTTATTTACTGTCTAAACACCAAGCACTCAATATATACCAGGCTCTGTGCTCATCACTGGAGATAAAATGGGGTGCACTGACCACTCCAGCTGTAGAGGGGAGAAGGAGCTGGAAGGGAGAACAGCTGTTGGGAAGAGGCATCAGAAGATTAAAAAACAGTCCTAAAAAAAGACCAGTGTTTGACAGTGGAGACCAGCATTCATATTCCAGAGAGAGGCTGCTCTGGGCGACCCCAGACTTCTCGCTCATGCAGCTGGATGGGTGACACCCTCTTAGATAAAGAACACCAGGAAGAAGAAGCTGGTGAAAGCAATGACCAGGCTGACTGTGGACATCTTCTATCTGAGAGGTCCCAGAGGATGCCATGCAGGCAGTGCACATGCAGGTCTGGAGCATGAGAGAGACAGCATTGAGATAGCAATTTGAGAGTCTACGACATAAAAATGTAGTAAGTTATGGGCATGAATCTGATGACATGGGAGAGAGGCAGAATGATAGAGAGAAGAAGGGGCCAGGCCTAAGCTGTGATACATCTGGAGAAGGGATGAAGAGGCAGCAAAATAGAGAAAGGAATAGTCCGCTGCATTCTGCTCTTAAGTCTTATAATAGTTTGGAGAATAAATGGCAAGGTAAAACTAAGTAGGTATTTTTGAGTGCCTGAATTAGGCTAACAATGTTATACAGTGTTTCTGAGAAGGAAACTGGGTGGTCTCTTTCACAGTAAAAAATAAAATTAAATAAGTAAAGTCACTTCCAGCAGTGAGTATGTGGGTAGAGTAGGGCAGTGGAGGCAGCAGGGGTGAGGTATTTAGAAGGAGAATGGGGAGATGAGGGTTAAGAGGGACAGAACTAGAGGGAGGAGGGAGAATTAGGAGAAAAGGAGAAGAAGGGATAGAGGAAGGAGAAATGATCCTCAGTGAAAACAAAATTCTGAGCAGATTAAGAAAAGTCATAGCATCAGCTAGCAGCTCCTCTGTGGAGCTTCCCTGGTTCCCCTGGTCCCTAAACCACAGGTAGAAGAGTCATGCTCCCTCTAAAGCAACAGAAGCTTTCTACAGCTTCGTTTGAAGTCTGTAACAGACCCCTGTCTTTAAAATGCTACAATGGTGAACATGTAGGGAAGTCTGCAGAGGGGGTTCAGAACCTTCTGCCTCTTCCACTGAAATATGAGCTTTCCCAACATGGATGTTGGCACTTAACTATTTGCTGAATAAATAAATATATAATAATGGTTCTTTTGTTCAGAAAGATTATTGTTCTGTTTTCACCAATCTATTAAAAAAAGCAATTTTTAAATCTTATGGCTAATCCCACATACCAGTTTTTCCTCAGGATGAAGAGGGACATTGTATGCAGTAAAAGACAAAGTTAAAATCATGACAAGAAGCTATCAACATATTTCAAATCCCAAAAATAAAACAGCCAATAAAGTATCACAAGAGTTTATGGAAAAATAATAGGAAACCATTACAGGGCAAGTCTACCTTGACTCCCCTGCATTAGTCTGGGGGTCCTTCCTACTTGACCCATTGTTGAATTTGTCTTGGTGTAGTGCAGTTGCCTTGGTCTCTCCTCCAAGTAAACCATATGTTTACTCTCCGAAGATAAGGACCACATCTCACTTTGCCCACTGTTTGCTCAATGTCTAGCATGGTGCCAGGGCAGGGCATAGCCTGAGTGCTTGCTATAATGGACACATCATCCTGCAGAGTGAAGAAGGAACATCTACATGGAAGTTCTGTCTCTGAAATACAGAGGCAGGCAGGTTTCACGTAGAGATTTCTTGTGTATGTGAATGAGATATTTGTACTCATCACTGAACAGATGTCATTTAACTTCTTTAGAAACTATTAAAGTGATCCAAAAAGGGAGTATTCTGAGTCAGACTCAATATATTCCACAGGTCACTTCATCATCAGGGACACAATCAGCTGGGTATGACTGGTATTCCTTATATACTTATATAACAAGTATAAGCAATAAATTACCTAGGAGATAAAGCCTCCTAGGTAATGGGATTTGCACCCCATTCCTTAAGTGGGCTGCAAACAGTCACTTCCTTCAGAATGAGGCATAGAGAGTGAAAAAAAAAAAAGAGTAACTTTATAGTAAAGGAACTGGATAGACACCACCTCAGCCAGGTGATCAAGGTTACTGTTAAAAGTGATTCAGTCACGTTGACAGTATGCACTTTTAATAGGATATGATGAAAACAGAACTTTAACTGTGGTTTTCCTCCCTAAAACACACAATCCCAGTCTAATCATGAAAAAACACCAGACAAATCCCAACTTAAGGACACTCTACAAAATTACCAGCCCTGTTGTCCTCAAAACTGTCAAGATAATCAAAACGAGGCAAGTCTGAGAAACCCTCACAGTCAAGAGGAACTTAAGGAAACATGACAACTAAATGTCATGTGGTATCCTAGAGGGTAGCCTGGAAAATAAAAGGGACAATGGATAAAAACTAAGGAAATATGAATAAAGCATGAAATTTAGTTAATAATAATATATCACTGTAAGTTCACTAATTGCAACAAATATATCAAAAGAATATAAGATGTTAATAATAACATTACAGATGCTATAATATTGGGTTGGCCAAAAAGTTCACTTAGTTTTTTCCATATTATGGCTCTAGCAGTGCTTAGTTATCTTCAACTTCATTCTAAACAATTTTGTAAGATTGTATGGTGACAGCTGTTATATCAGCCTGCATTTAAAAAAAAAACAAATTGGTGAACTTTTGTGCAGTCATTTTAATACTGAAAATGGAAGAAGATATACATTTTGGTATATTATATTTTATTATTTCAAGAAAGGTAAAAAATACGACTGAAATGCAAAATAAAATTTGTGCAGTGTATGGAAAAGGTGCTGTGACTGACCGAACTGTTAAAAGAGCTCTGCAAAGTCCCTTAGTACTACTGACATTTTGGCCAAATAATTCTTTGCTCTGGGGCTGTCTTATGCATTGAAAAATGTACCCTGGCTGGCGTAGCTCAGTGGATTGAGCGCGGGCTGGGAACCAAAGTGTCCCAGGTTCGATTCCCAGCCAGGGTACATTCCTGGGTTGCAGGCCATAACCCCCAGCAACCACACATTGATGTTTCTCTCTCTCTCTCTCTCTCTCTCTCTCTCTCTCTCTCTCTCTCTCTCTCCCTCCCTTCCCTCTCTAAAAAATAAATTTAAAAAAATACTAAAAAAAAAAAAAAAAAAAAAAAAGAAAAATGTTTAGCAGCACCCCTGGCTTCTACCCACTAGAAGTCAATAGCAGGAGAGAGCCAAGATGCTCAAAATATCTAAATCAATACGGTTATTGGTGCAAATGA